CTTCAGCTATGCAGCCAGTAATTTTTCCAGTTGCTCTGACCAATGCTGCATCGTCTGGTGATCAGCCTACTGGTGAACTTCCTAACAACAATACCTTCTAAAGAAATTCAAAACAACGAGCAAAAGACCAACAGTCTTGTATGTGATGTTTTATTGACAACCACTGCTGTACCATTCTGGTCCACATTGTGATCCAGGCCAAAAAAGGCCGCAACTCGGTGCACCAGCATACGATTGTACGAACTCATCGCCGGAAATTTTTGCGAATTGCGTCTGAAATGATAGAAGGGATGCCCTTTTTTGAGTTTCACGAACAAGAAGATGGAAAAGAGGAAAATTTCCTCTTTTTCAGAAAAGAAGAAAATGAAGAAAGTAGAGGAAATCAGAAAAAAAAAGAAAAAAGTCAGCTGACGGACTCGGGATCCTTGACAAGTTTTATCATGTGCTCTTCCAGCTGCAGCAGCATATGGCGATCCTTGGCATTCTTGTGCAATGTACAAGTGATAAAAGAAAGAAGATTAATCCCTGTCGAATCGGTATAATCATAAGCATGTCCAGAATCTGCAACATCAACATCATTATCAACACCAAAAAATGGCAAAAAAAAAAGAAATTAACAAATCCCCTTCACACCAAAGTGCTCTCATCCACACAAAATAATTGGCCAACGCATGGGCTGCCCGTGTGAAAGTGCGTTTTTTGCATAGCTACCCGCAGATTTTTGTTTCTAGCGGCACTGGTTTTTCCGGCAGATGCTTCTGACTAAAAGAGTTTCAGACCTGCCGCCAGGACTGTCAGGAAAAGTCCCTTCAAAATTGTAGTCTCCTAGTTTCTCACATTCTCGAGATAGCAACTCACCCGAAAGAAACCTTCACGAGCTCGCACGTAGGCACCACCCCTAGCTGCTGGCAGAGTTTGGGCTCATTAATACCTACTTGGACGGGGAACATCACCCTAAGATTTCAGCTTTTTAGCTTCTCAGATCCTCGAGTTAGCGACTATACATGCATGTAGATTAAGTTCCCAAAATTTCAGATTTGTAGCTTTTGTAGGTCTTGAGATGAAAAATCGGCACAGACGCACACACAGACACACTGACGCACGGACACACAGACAACCCCCTGCCCCGTCAATATGCGTTTTCTGCATTGCATAGTTGC